TGTTTCTGTAATTCACTCTGTCCTTGAAGCTGTTAACCAAATCCAGTCTATCCTAGAAGATGTTGCTTTTATCCATTCAATGCAAGAACCTGTTATTGTAATCCACTCTACCCTAGAATGTGTTACTATATCCTCTAAGCAGTTACTGAAATCGAGTCTATCTTGTTAATCTACCATACAAGTTGTTACTGAATACCAGCCTATCATAAAAGCTGGTACTGAAATCCACTCTATGCTAAAATAAGTTACTGTAATCCACTCTATTATATAAATTAATAATGTCATCCGCTCTGTCACAGAAGCTGTTAGTTACCCACAATCCGCTGTATAAAAATGGTTGTTTACAGGTGGACCAAAGTAACAGTTTCTGATGTATAGTTTTATACATTTTATCTAGGATAAGAGGCGCCGGAACTTAATGGGCTTAGGTACATTGAGCGCCCCTTCCCTCCCCGAAACAGTGGGGAGTGGGAGATGCTGAGCACACTAACAAACATGTCAAAGGGGTCCAAGCGTTTCTTTATGCCTATGCTACCCGCCCTTCTTCCCCGCCCCTAGTCCCCAGCAACACTACTAGAATTGTCAGATACTCCGTTATCCCCAGATTTATTCTGTGTTTTTGCCCCCATCCAAATTGTGTTCCTTGGAAGTAATTTTAGTGAGCTGATTATCTGTATTTTATAGCCGGTATAAATCCCGAAAGTCACCCCATCTCGTCCGCCGCAAGATTTCGTAGGGAATTTTCCGAGACACCCCTGTACTTTTGGGATGTCATATGTTCCTCGTTTTGACCGTTTCAGGCGGATCCAACAGCGACGACAGCCACGGTCAACAAGCGTAATAATACAAAACCATCAATGATTCGATACTAACGAAGAGTCGCTCCTCCAGCGTTTTCCGTTGCAGTATTTTTTCTTCATACGCAGGCGCCTACGGCGCATGAGACCTACTGTTCACAGAAACCAGATTTGTGGGGAAGGGGGGGGGGAACCTGCTGCAGCCGCTTTTCGACAGTGTGTAAACACGGCGAGGCAAGCCACGTCGAAACCACCCGGCCCCCCCCCCCCCCCCCCCCCTCTTTCCCCCCCCCCCCGCCCGCAACATTAGTTCCGATAGCCTGTTAGTTGTGAGAATGTCACCACAAACAAACAACGAGTTGTCAACGTTTACTATCTGGCAAATCTACGCAATCTACATGTTCGTGGTACCCAGACTGAGTCAGTCTGGAAGTCCGGTGTGTTTAGTGTTTTTTAATATGGCCTTTGCGGATCCGAACCCAAGAGCTTCAGGTCGGCAGGCAAGCGTTTATTTTTGGTGTAAACACCACCACTACTCTTTATCTTTCATTCACTATTCTTGAAACAAATCAGTATTAACGCAACCACATACCTACAGTTTTACACCCCCCAAAAAAAAAAAAAAAACACATTCGAAATCTACATAGCTATTTTTATTTGTTATATATGGATAAAGAGACGCCATATATGTAAAACTACAGTTAATAACAAAAAATATATAGGTGCACACATGCATTTCTATCTTATCAGGGCTTCTTTTTGCTTTCTGCATTTTTAAGGCATTTTTCCCTCAGAGTGCTTCTGTAATAGACACGTTGGGTGTGGACTGGCACCTTTTTAGACGCTCTTTGGTTGTTGAAGGACGCCTTTAAACGTCCTGAAAATATACGACTAGACCTAAATTTTTATACACTCAGTGTGATGTGGTCAACATTTCACCGGACGCCTTAACTTCCAAGGACTTTATCAAGTACCCATTTAATTCTGGTGGACTTGGGAGCCAAGGTCATTAAACAAACAAACAAAACAAAAAACATGTCTGGCACCGTCAAGACCTGGGGCCACGACTTTCAGATCCACATGAGAGCGTCTAGTCGCTACACCACGGCTGTTGTGAGTACCGGCACATTTTCAGATACTGTTTGGTGAATACCGGCACCTTCTTTTCTAGAAAAAGAATGCCCTAATCTTTTTCATGTTTACACAAATGAAACAGATTGTTGTCATTTTACAGTTACGTGCATAAATGTATATAAATACACTATATATTGTCCTTGTTTATGTGAAGATTAAAGCAAATAACCTGATGCGTGGCAGCATTTCGTCTGAACAATGCCTTGTCTGTGACGTCTATTTAACGAAACAGTGGCACAGAATAAAACGGAATGGACAAAAAGACTTAGCCCTCTGTGAAATATAATGGCAGAACAGTCTGATTATGATGATGATGATGATGATGATGATGATGATGATGATGTCGTGTTGTTTATTCTTCGTCGTTTTCGTGTATTTAGTTTTTGGTTTATTCTTTTTTTACCTTCTGCTTCTTCTTTCGTCCTACTGCTTAGAAACCTACCCAGAGATCCGTACAATAGCTGTTCAATGTTGTGAGTGATTGTGAAGCCCTTTAAAGAAAGTGTAACTAATTTCAACTTTAGGATACTCATGAAACACACTGTCAGATTCTTGCATGAAGGAAAGAGACGTTAGCAAGAGATGATGAGGTGAAGAGTGATGGTCAAAGTTAGGATGAGGAAATTCTCATTAATATAACGGCATAAACCCTGACACATGATTCTAACACTACCAATAAACATTGCGCTTTATAATCCATTAATAAACACGTAATTGCTACACAGAACTGGTTACCCGCATCAGAAGGAAATAATCTACATTTTTGTCACGTCTTGAGAAGGGAAACGATAGAGTACTTTGTGACGAAGGAAAAGTTAGAAGGACAGAAAAGAAGGAAGCTAAGAGAAAAGATACTGGGTAACTTTGGCATCATGGCATGGAAGAGCAGCTGTATCAGAAATGACTGACAGTGCTTGAAACAAAAACTTAGGAACATATATTTTTATCAACGTCACATACTTGGAATAACAATAAGAAAGGCTACACATGAGTTCAAATAATCGGTACAGCAAACAATTATGGCCCATCTTTGTAAACTTTCAGAGCAATGAACAAGTCACCAAACCAGTCAGGCATGTATGCCAGTGGACGAAAGAGAAGTTTGCAGTCTGTTCCAACCAGGTATCTTGTCTTGGGAAATCTGGAGGTGATAGCGTGGGTGTAGGCGTCCACGACCAGACCGATCTCCGTGGAACCACCGTTGTAGTAGCCGATGAGCCTTTCACGACCTGGAATATATCACCATTAAACAATAAACATGTTGAAGAAGAAGAAGAAGATGTTGATGATGATGATGATGATAATAATGATGATAAAAACAACACACACAAAACAACATCTTTAAAAAAAAAAAGACATTTTATGTGGCGCACATAAACCTAGTCACAATTTTAACCAAAAGCCCCACACCCACCCAACACGCCCCCCCCCCCCGAAGAAAGTCAATTTGTTACCTTCTATGATGTGAAGCGACTGGCTTCCTTGTTCGTCACGTTTCCAAACCCTGATGAATCTAGTTACCCTTTTACGAGACCATCAGAGTTTCTAATCAGTGCGGGAAAAACGCCCTCTGTACAGAGGCACAGACAACATTACTTCATGTAGATTGTGCTCAAAAAGGTTATCAACCTATGACATGCCTTTCCCACAATACTGTCCTCAGAACGGTTTGTCTGAAAGCATAATCGGTTGCATAAAGTATTCTACACTTAAAAACAAGTTGAATGTGTTAATCCAAGTCTGTCCACGCTTACACCCATCTCTATATTATCCTCTTCGGTCCTAGGCAACAGTTTCTTTCATTTCTTAATTACAAATTTCTTATACTTTTTAAAAGGATTTCAACCTTTAATATTAAAACACCAGAGGCACCGAGTTAACAATCGAGGTACAATTGGTTAATGTAAAAAATGTTTATATCAGTGGACAGTCAGAAAACGTTGCATTGTTTATACTAACTAATAAACGTATTACTTATATACCAATTGTCACCATTATTAGGACATCCAAGCATAACTATGAGTGCAAAGAGACAGATTATTATTAGCATATACATTCAAACATTAATCTACCAGTGCCAAACATGGACACTATCTAAAGCCCATATACCCAAAACCACCACCTGCGAGATGAGGTGTCTGAGAAAAGCAGCCAACCTAACCATCCGAGATCGAGTGAATAATGAAACTATCAGGAAAATTGTGGAAACGACACCTTGTACTAGATTCATCGAGAAACAGCAGATTAAGTGGTTTGGCCATCTTGTTAGAATGCCGCAAGATCAAATACCATCACAAGCACTTAATCTCAGAAGATCAGCTACAAGAGCAAGAGGACTGCCGCGGAAAACATGGATGGACAACATTAAAGACACTCTACGCCTTCACGGCATGACAATAGCCAGTGGCAGCCAGTGTGCACATGATCGCAAATTATTCCTCCCTACGGCTCTTAACGGCAGAAGGGGTTTATAATGATGAATAAACGTATTACAAGTTGCTTAGTACAGAAGGAGTTGAAGGCACCATAACTTATTTTGCCTGTGATGCCTAGGCGTAGCCATCGAAGACGTTAGAAACTAAGAACGGTCCAGGTCAGTGGCACGAACTTTACATCGTATTGTTGTTTATTACTATTTTGTTTCATTTGCTAACACGTAATGCCATAATATGATAGATAGATAGATAGATAGATAGATAGATAGATAGATAGATAGATAGATAGATAGATAGATAGATAGATAGATAGATAGATAGATAGATAGATAGATAGATAGATAGATAGATAGATAGATAGATAGATAGATAGATAGATAGATAGATAGATAGATAGATAGATAGATAGATAGATAGATAGATAGATAGATAGATAGATAGATAGATAGATAGATAGATAGATAGATAGATAGATAGATAGATAGATAGATAGATAGATAGGAGGACGGACGGACGGACGGATTGATGGTTGGATGTATAGAATAAAACAAAATACATATAGACAGACTTACAGCCAGTCGGGCAGAACTAAAACAGACTGACTGATCAGTCTTATAATGATGTATGCACTTACATCTGTCCAAGAGGCCAGGACCATAGTAGTCTATGACTTCTTTGCTACATTTGTCACGTGAGATCTTGATGCGATCCACCATTTTGTCCACATTGAAAATTTCTGTTCTGAACACACCTGGCTCTAGAATCGCTACCTTTACACCACTTTTGGCTGTTTCTCTTCTGCGGACAATACAATACATAGAAAATGTTGATGATTGAAATATTACACTTTTGGCTGTTTCATATTTGTATGCAATACATTTAAGATGCATCATTGACAATACAGTAGAACCTCGCTTAACGAGCACCTCTCATAACAAGTATTTCGCATAACGAGCAGAACAAATTGTCAAAAAATGACTTCCTTAACGAGGGACGTTTCGCATAACGAGTGGCGAGGAGAGGAAAAGTCCCGAATTGTGCTCATGTTACATCAGTCTGTGTTAGCACTCGACCCAGTAGCATCGTAGTGTCGCTTTTGATCACACATTTTCTCAAACTTGTGTTATATTGTGATATATGTACATGAATCCTTAAGGCCTACAAGATGACCTCTCTGAAGAATTTAAGTTCATCAAGATCCAGTTTCTGCCACCCAACACCACTCCGTTACTCCAGCCCATGGACCAGCAAGTTATTTCTAACTTTAAGAAGCTTTACACTAAATCACTATTTGAGAATTGTTTTCAGGTGACTGAAGGGACCAACTTCACTCTCAGAGAGTTTTGGAAAAACCACTTCCTCATCGTTGCCTGCCTCAAGATGATCAGTAAGACGGGGCAAGGGATTACCAAGAGAACCCTAACTTCTGCTTGGAAGAAGCTTTGGCGGGAGAGCGTTGTCTTTTTGTGACTTTGAGGGGTTCGAGACACTACCTGTGGAACCTGTCGTCAACGAGATTGTGTCTTTGGCCACTATCATCTGATTGGAGGTTTATCGCAGTGATATCGAAGAGCTTGTGGAAGAGCACAGCCAAGAGCTGACTACCCAAAAGCTTATCGAGTTGCATTGTGTTTCACAGCAAGAAGTTTTGTGGGAAAGTTTGTCAGGGGACGAGGAGGAGGCGTTGCAAATTTATTTAATGGTAATGCTGTGTAGCATTTTCGCCAAATTTTGAAGCGTCTTTCTAATAAAAATAATCATTAGCTATGTATCATAATTATTTGTTGGTTTTTTTTTTCTTCTGCAAATCCCATTCCAGGTGGGTTCATTCCGCGTTTGAAGAAAAGATGGAGATGATTTACTCTCCTTAACAATATGTTTATAATTTTCTTTGAAAAAACGTTATAATAGCATTTTGTGAGTATTTTTTTCGACATGGAACGCATTATCGTATTTTACATTAATTTTTAATGAGAACAATTGTTTCGCATAACGAGTTTTTCGCTTAACGAGTATGATTCTGGACCGAATTATGCGCGTTAAGCGAGATTCAACTGTATATTACATGCTTGGCGGTATCTCAGCTGCATTTAATACGTTTCAGATACTCAGGTACATCGGAATTTGAACGCTTCAAAACTCAACAACTTTGAATCCGGACGAAATTTAAAAAAAAAAAATTTTAATCTTAGCTTGAACGCAGCTTTTGAAATCGAGGGCCTGACAGGTGCCGAAAACTAGACTGCGTTGACAACCCAAGAGCTTTAGCGTCTTCACCAAAAGCAAAAAGGGAAACGACGGCATAAGACATTTCTTCCTGACAGGCAGAGAAGGAAGTTGTAAGGATTGGCACTGTCGGGGAGATACATTTCTAAGAAACACACAGTAATAGAAACATGAAGTAGCAGATATTCGTTAGCCCTAAAAAGACGGATATCTAAAGCAAGAGAAGAGGGAAATAAACCAGAGAACGCACTAGAGGAGTTTCAGATAATGTAATAGATCCCATTTTGTTTTGCAAAGAGCAGACAGTATGGCATTTTCAGTGAAGAAGAGGCAGGGTTCTACCAGCAAGACAGGGGACACAAGATATCAGTGCCGCCATGAACATGAAAGCTCACGAAGCGGGAATGCTGGCAAGTTACAGATTGGTTTTCCTGCATGAATTGATGAGAATGACCTGCTACTGAATGCTAAATCTATCCCATAACGCTCTCTATGGTATTCCTTTGATATCGTTGACCCCATATTGACTAACTCATTCACAGCCTTCATTTCGTAATTAGAAATGTTGATGGATGTTGGTGCAGCAGTGTCTTACTCCATCATGATTGTGTTGTTCGGCTGATGTTCAGTCCAAAGTCTCATCAGGCTACCACAAAACGACCTCCCAGGCGTTTCTGACGTATTGATGTAAATATGGCCTAACGGCTGAACAGAGTTTCCGGGACCTCTCCACGGCTGATTCTCATCCGAAAGGTGACACTTTGTGTCACCGGGTGTTTATCGATTGTGTGTTGTCCTGGTGGGGTACATCTTACCTACATACCTCATAAATGAATTATTGGTAAATTATTTATTTTTAGAAAAAATAGTTTTTATTTTCACAAGCAGTTTGTACACCTACCTTTAAAAATCTTTTGAATATAATAATACGTTCATTAAATTGCAGATTAGGAATTCATTCTGACTGGTATTTGAAACTTAGATCTATGTGGATGTTTTTTCATCAAGTTCTTGTTAACAGTGCTTGTGAGTTTTTTGTTTGTCCTCTTTTTAATAATTTTTTTAATGTTCATGGGGTGGGGAAATCTTGTCATATACTCAAGGGGGCGCCAATTGTAAGAAATTTGAAACCACTGGCAAAGAGTAATTCTTGTCTGCATCAAATACAGATTTACACATGCACACAAAAGGGGGGGGGGGGGGGCGTCAAGAGAACTTGAGATTCGGAAAATGCAGAATAGAGGGAGAGAGAGAGAGAGAGCGATAATCGGGACAGGGAGAATGAGATAGGGAGAGAAGAGAGAGAGAGAGAGAGAGAGAGAGAGAGAGAGAGAGAGAGAGAGAGAGAGAGACGAGACAGACAGACGGGTGGGTGGACAGACAGACGAACAGATATATGGATAGATAGAACAAACGAACGAACGAAACTTTTTTTCAAAGGGTCACAAATTGGGCACGTAGGCCTGTCTTACATTCGGCACTTCCAAGTACACATCTTTCAGACCACCATTGCAGATTATCAGTATTGCAAGGTTTGTCTTCAATAATGCCAGCTATGTCTAATAAAAATATTTGGAATTATAATGAAAATATGCATACACACATCATAAAAAATATAAAATCATTCACACCCAACAATACCCACGTATACATTTTTTTACATGCTCATACATACACAGGTACATACACACTCATATACATAAATGCCTACACACACACACACTCATATAGATAGATAGAGAGGATTGGAGGCTGCGTGGTCTCGAGGCATAGCGTCCGCCTCGAGTGCTGGAGGTCCCGGGTGAAGGCTGCGATTTTGTCAAGAAGACTTCTAGTAATTTCCCCCGGTCCCTGTGTATTAAGACAGGACGTCTGTGTGTATTGTTCTGCAAGTAAAAATACCTTGACAGAAATTTACACACAAAAAATAGCCTAACAGTTCTGCCAAGGCAAAATTCGGAGTTTAGAATCAATCGAAAGTATTTCAGGATCCTCGCCAGTACTACGGAGTACGGAGTTCGTACCCCGCGCTGAGACTTTTTGGACAGACAGACAGACAGACAGACAGACAGACAGACAGACAGACAGACAGACAGACAGACAGACAGACAGACAGACAGACAGACAGACAGACAGACAGACAGACAGACAGACAGACAGACAGACGGACGGACGGACGGACGGACGGACGGACGGACGGACGGACGGACGGACGGACGGACGGACGGACGGACGGACGGACAGACAGACAGACAGATAGATAGATAGATAGATAGATAGATAGATAGATAGATAGATAGATAGATAGATAGATAGATAGATAGATAGATAGATAGATAGATAGATAGATAGATAGATAGATAGATAGATAGATAGATAGATAGATAGATAGATAGATAGATAGATAGATAGATAGATAGATAGATAGATAGATAGATAGATAGATAGATAGATAGATAGATAGATAGATAGATAGATAGATAGATAGATAGATAGATAGATAGATAGATAGATAGATAGATAGATAGATAGATAGATAGATAGATAGATAGATAGATTAGATAGATAGACAGATTCGATTAGATAGATAGACAGATTCGATTAGATAGATAGATAGATAGATAGATAGATAGATAGATAGATAGATAGATAGATAGATAGATAGATAGATAGATAGATAGATAGATAGATAGATAGATAGATAGATAGATAGATAGATAGATAGATAGATAGATAGATAGATAGATAGATAGATAGATAGATAGATAGATAGATAGATAGATAGATAGATAGATAGATAGATAGATAGATAGACAGACGGACAGATAGATAGATAGATAGGAGAGAAAGTCACCTATCTTATACACACATTTTAATAAACGAGTTATTTCTCAGCCTTATATTTTCCTGATCCAAAAAAGGCTATTCACACCATTTATCCCTGATAAATTCAACAGCTGTCAGTGGTTCAGCTGGTGTGTATTTATGAACGTAAATGTACCAGACCCGGTGATTCTCACACAGCGTCATTAGGTTTTATATTTGCGTCCTTGAATACAAGATACACAGCACTCTACCCTCATTCAGTGCAATACAGGAGTCCTTCGAATGACATATTAAACATGGGGTGTTTTATATAGAGGCTGTACATGTCTTCTGCTATTCAATATTCTTTTGTAGAATATTCTTTTGATTGACATGGATAATAAATTTTGAACTCAAATGTATGCACATAAAAAGTGGCATATGAGTGTGAGAAAGGACATGGGTTTTTTTTTAATTCAACAACCTCTATCTAACTTTTTATTCATCTTTGAATTACTTAACTTTGGCAAGTATTATAAACAAAATAAAAATGCGGTAACTTAATAATGAAATGTATTGAATTAAAATTCAATAACTTGTGGTAAGATATGAGGAGTTTCAATGTTATAGCCCCGAATAATCTGATCGTGGGGCATAGAGATATGCAAGAGGAAAGAATGCATACGTAAATCAATACACGTGAGTTGGTATGGTAACAAAAGCGACGACCCTAACAGTGCGATACAGAGTAAGAAACAACACTGTTA